ATATTTTACCGAGCACCTCAACGGTAAATAGTAAAAATGCTAATATTTGATTAGATTTGATGTACTATCGATTGTCGGGGTATTTGTAAAAAATAAAACTGTCGTTATCCGGAGTATAACGCCGTGGCATTAGGCCCGGTACAAAGCGTGGCGTTTAGCCACAACGTAAAACACCAGCGGGGTGAGGGCAGAATTTAAGGATGCGCTTGCCCAAAAAGCTATCAACTCCTTATATATTGTGTTTTTTTTTGTGTTCCAGGAGTCTTCTCACAGACATGCCGCGCCACCGTAACGTTTATCCTGATATTATCAACAGCTCGAAGTTTACCAGGAGGCCGAAAAACGATTCCCAGTAATCTCTGGATCCATTTACGTATTTTATTCATTGGCATTGTTCATTTAGTATCCCTGTTTACGCACACCACGCTATTGAATCAAATTAATTGTATTTATTTCGCGCACCTTTCGTTAGCTAGGAAACTTGTGCTAAGTTGTATACATTTTTACGTCAATTAAGTATACTAATGTGCAATTAATTATACTCTGTGCGCAGTTATATTATATAATAACTTAATATCTGTACTTGTCGTATCAATTATCTACGGTATGTACAATATGCATATGTGTCTGTGCACCCGTCACCTCCAAGCTCCAAATGCACGTAATAACGGTGGTGCTTGTTACCGGATGCGCAAATGTACGGGAACGTATAAACTCACGCCACATGATACTCGTATATACACCTTTAATTTTCCTATTATTGTAAGTAATAAAGTATTGAGATCCTTTGACAAGTGTCACGATACAATTGCAATTACAAACGAATTAAGTGAAAATGGAATTTTGTTTAAACAAAGTGTAAAATCAAAGTACTGACATGCTATACGGAAGTCGCACCGGCTACGTCCGTACTCGATGACCAACCATACACAGTCGGTACAGTGGGAATACGCTCTGGACTCCGATGAGTGGTCGTACACAACAAACTACTTCCGCTAGGTACAGCGGATCTGCCTAACGAAAGTTACACGCAATACACGCTTTCTACGCATAGCGTGTTAGTACAAACTTAATTAGTACGAATATACCACAGATTTTATAACAGAAACACTTCCTCTATGCTATTCAGCTCGGGAATCGTACCTCTGAGGCTATCACACAAATCGCATTCCACTCATTTATGGTCACTGGAGCGGTTTACCGCAAAAAGGTTACACCACTCGATGAGGGGTTAACGCAACAAACTGAATTTGTTTTGCTTTTAAATCTATACGGTTCGGCACAGTATCTAACACAAAAGACACCTCCCGGCAAACGTGACCATTCCTGACCGTCACTCGTGCTAACGTGCGCAATTCAGGCTAGGTATGCCATACTGAATTGAACAACGAAGTTAAACGCTCCTTGGAGACTGCGGGTTACCCTTGTCAGTCCGAACCGTCGGGCCTGTCAAATAAAGAAAACAAACGTCCCGATGGTATGACTTTGATTCCTGTACGCGATGGGAAGGCGGTTGTGTGGGATGCAACGTGCTGGGACACTGTAGCCGTCTCTCACGTGCACGCTAGTTCTTTGAAAGCCGGAAGTGTAGCGCAGATGGCAGAAGACTACAAGCGCCGGAAATACGCCTTCGTCGAGGATTTGGGATATCTTTTCTACGCTCTGGCCGTCGAGAGACTTGGGACATTTGGATTGGCTTTCTCGGAGCTTATCCGTTTCGTCGGCCGCAAGATTCGTGTCATTACCGGAGAGCCTCGATCTACAGCCTTTTTGAGACAACGTTTAAGTTTAGCTGTAGTCAGAGGGAATGCAGCGGCTGTTTTGGGTACATTTAACGCACGTACTAAATTCACGAAAGACGCTAATGATTTTGGATGTTTTTTCAATGTTTAAAATTCGGAACTTTTATTAGTTTAAACCCGCGCAGGCGTATTGTTATGCCACTGTTATACTGTATAAGCCACAATTAAATGAGATTTTCTTGTTGTAGTTTGCGTGTTTCTTTCCCTACTTTGCCAAGTATGATTTGACCAATAAAGTGTTCGTAAGCCACAATCATATCGTCCAGCGTACAGTAGATTCATATAATCGGCTCGATCTGTTTAATCTGCTCAGCAAGACAATTAATTACAGCATCATTCTGGCAGACAAAACGAAAAACAAAAAAGGCATCAGTCATTACGTGTTGCATGATACGGATATAGATGGTTTCCACGACATGCGTTCCGTTTTATATAAAGGCATCAGGATGTGGTGGCACAACCGGCACAATGTCAACTGTCGGTTCCTTCTAGCTTACATAGTGGCAAAAGAGTAAAAACGAACACGGATGGCACTAGATCTTTCCTTAACCTGCAGTGCGATTGGCTTTCACTGGCTCCATCGGATTCTGTTGTTTCCCTGTTTGGACCGCACCGCCAACGCTAGCGCTGGAATTAGTGGTTCCTGACGTGAAATTGGAGATTGGGATAGGTGCCCGGTGGAGGTCAAGCACTGACTTGTGGCCGCCGCCGCCGAAAGCGGGCTCGACATCGTGAACTATGCTCATAATAAGAGCGAATACGCAGATGAATTGTCTGAACATTTTCTCCTTTGAACCACGAGCGTGAGACGTAACAAGCTATTTGCAGACTTTGCTAAGCTATGTGGTAGTCTTGGATTGGTGTTACAAGATCTTATACCGTTAGCGCTGTTGCGCAGCAAAGTTCCTTCAGGACATCAGCTCCCCCCTGGCGCTAGGTACGATGTACTTCCGCATCGCGTATGAGTAAGCAGGTTTCTAACAAACATTAATCTTATTATTTCCTTGTTGCACTGTCAGTGTCGAAATTATTGTAACGAAGCAGCTGTAAATAAGCAATTTATGCAACGTTGACAGGCGTCCTTTCGCTTTCCGCTGCTGACATACGAATGTGTGCGGCTATTGGGATGGCTACCGATGTTTATTGCGGAGTCAAACCGTTGCTTGTGGCAACCTGTACTTCGTGGTTAACGCTGCACGTAGTGGCCAGTTCAACCATGTGGCGAAAGCAAACATTCCGGTGCATGTACACGAATCTGGTACCATCATAATCTTGCTAAACAAAAATGTATTCCATCGGGCTTACAGCTTTTACCGGTATACCGATGTCGTCATGGTATGGGAAACGCCGTATGCGACGCAGTGGACAGCCCCTGCGGGTTCCGTGTTTTATAGAAAAGTTAAATTCTTACAATTCGTTCATTACCGTGGCGAAAAAAATGCGCGCAAAAAGTTTAAAATTAAGTGAAAGTTAGCACGTAAATAATTAACGCTTCAAGGATTATGTAGAATTTGACGATTGAAGTAATGTTTATTTCATTATGGCTGCGTGCACGGGTAAACGCGGGTGTTGACTGCGTGCACGGGATTTCTGAACGGGTGACGTGTTGGCTGCGGGCGCGGGAATTGGTTTTGTGCACGGATAAATTATTTAAATTTTTAAATTTGTATTTCCATTTGAACTGTTTTACATAGCTATTATGGAAACTTACTCACTTATCCCATAATTTCTCAACCAAGATACAATTAAGTACAAGTAGTAATTAAGTACAGTCAGTTAAAAAACCTAAGAGCAACAGCTCTTCAAGCGGAAAACCGAAAACGATATAACTACCGCTTGCTGGGAGACGAGGACTCCCATCGTCTCCACAGCAAACGGATAAAACCTGTACTGATAAAACGGATAAAAGGTCGCCCGTGCACACAGCCATCACCCGTGTCCGAACTCCGCGCACACAGCCAACACCCGTGCAAAAACCCCTGCACGCAGCCATTACCCGTGCTTTCCCGTGCACGCAGCATCGGCCTTTTTATTTACTATAAGGCTCTGTGGTAAACTGCCTCATATACCTCTACTCTGACCATCAGTCACGCAAATCGAGAAATTTTCGCTTCCTTGGCAAGTTTTCACTTGCTATCCTGCATTTTTTTTAGCTATGGTACGAACAGAGTGTTTAAGTTATTTAATGTTGATATAACCCAAAAACTCACAGAGACTGCCCACTGTGTTGCGTACTGCGTCTCCCATACCGTGACTTCACGCCGGTCGATGGAATACCTTTATTTTTTGTACTATTGTACCATGTATCCAAACCACTTGATACCTATTCCTCTTTCGTCCCCGTTTTACATCAATTGTATTCCATCATAGAACACCAGCTAAACATTGATTTGAACATCATACTACCCTATCAACAAATGTAGTACGAGGAGGGGGTAAATACACGGGATAGACAGAAAAACGGCAATAACAAGGGATAACCATTCACGTGTTGTGCAGCACGGCCAGCCACCAAGGGAAGGCAGTCCAGCGACACTACATAAAATTCAGGTCTTTGAGACCCGAGGGCTGCCTTCTCCGTACGCTTCCATGTTAATAACTTAAACACCTGCATCTTGCACATTTCAGGATTAAACCGCACAATCAATGGCTCAAAAGAACAAGAAAAAATTAACAAGATTTTCGATACCACGCAAACCGTGATCTATGAGAAATAAGACAAGCTAGAGCCAATTAAGTTTTCCATAGACAAAGCATAGGAGCTCCGTGGAAGCAAACCATCCAACTCCTATGCTTAGTCTACGAAACTCAAATGGCTCAATCTTGCCTCAGTTTTCGTAAGTGGCAAGTTGTTTGGTATAAAAAATCTTGTAAATTTTTTCTTGTTCTTTTGAGCTATCGATTGTGCGGATTAGTTCTGAAATGTGCTAGACGAAGGTGGTTGAATTTAACATAGAAGTCTACGGAGAAACAGCTCGAGACTGGAGTCTCAACGGCTGTTCTGCACTGTGTTACTGAACTGCCTTCCCTTGGTGGCTGGCCGTGTTGCACAACACGTGAATGGTTATCCCTTATTATTGCCGTTTTTTCTGTCTATCCCGTGTATTTACCCCCTCCTCGTATCGCAGAATCGCTGTACATGCAGGTAAAATCAGCAAACAACAGTCGCCGGAGGTTTGTACGCAGGAACAGAAAAGAACTAATCTGAATTTTGCTTCAAGCGGAAAGCTGTTCCCTGCTGTTTCTACGCTGGATTTCTATGCTAATGCGCCGGTAAGATTATCCGTAGCTCTTTGAGTCTCGCCGGTTTTTTTTGCCGCTTCCGGGTGACTTCCCTTGGAGAGCAAATTAGAGATTAACCCGGCCTGAATATAATTATAAAATATTTATTTATATGTGCAGATCCAGAGTACACTTACAATGTGTGTAAAAAAAGGGTTTCCAGACATCCAAACCGGTTTCACCCTGCTGAAGCAATAGTACGAACCTGCAGGAGGTTGGTTGTCCTACAGGTGGTGCACAACTGCACAGCACAGTGTGCTGTGCAGTGGTGTGTGCTGAGCACACGTATGCCGGGAATGACGCAGCAGAACCTGAACACATCCGCACCGGTGCCGTGTCTGTATAACCGGCCCTCACCACGGTATATTAAACGGTCGTGCGTGGCTTGTGCTAGCTTTGGCTGTTGATCGTTGCTCACCGGCATCCGTGGCTAGACGATGCAGCACTTAGCGATAACTGTTGTCACTGATAAATATGAATATGCTGATAAATATGCTAAATAAATATATAAATATAAATAAATATAAATAAATATAAATAAATATAAATAAATATAAATAAACATAAATAAATATAAATAAATATAAATAAATATAAATAAATATAAATAAATATAAATAAATATAAATAAATATAAATAAATATAAATAAATATAAATAAATATAAATAAATATAAATAAATATAAATAAATATAAATAAATATAAATAAATATAAATAAATATAAATAAATATAAATAAATATAAATAAATATAAATAAATATAAATAAATATAAATAAATATAAATAAATATAAATAAATATAAATAAATATAAATAAATATAAATAAATATAAATAAATATAAATAAATATAAATAAAAACTTTCTTTATAATATGATATCTTTTACGTCGCGACATTACAGTCATGAGTCAAATCACTACGGCCTTCATTACCCACTCAAGAATTAAAAAAAACAACCAAAATCAGTATTATCAACAAGTTTATTCTTGCCCGGTAAAGTTCCTAAAACCGCAGCCGCATTGCCTTTAATAATTGCCAGACTAATACGCTGCTTTAAGAATGCCGTGGATCTGCTTTCTCCAGATCTATCCTTGATTTTCCGTCCGAAAAAGCTGACCACTTCTCTAGCTGCTTCGCCAAGCACTCCGAGGGTTTCCACGGCAAAAGGATAAAACCAATACTGGTCGCCCAGACCCCGATAGTTGTATCGTTTGCGGATTTCCGCTTGATGAGCCGCTGCGCCCGCCGCCTTTGCTGACCGTATAAGGTAAGATTGTGCTAACGTGTCTGCAAAGGTGGCGTCCCATACCAGCTGCTTTCCCTCTCGCACTGGCACCAGTGTCATTCCATCCGGGCGTTTTCCGTTGTCTCTGAATACACCTTTGGGTTCCAGCTCACATGGAAATCCCGCTGCTATACATGCCCGCTCCAGTATACTGTTCAGTTCTGTATGTTGGCTCCATCTACCTTTGCTGTACAGGCAGGACAATCCGTGGTGACCGTCAGGGGTTACTTGGAAGCCACATCCTGCGCATTCATGCGGTGCCACCACTGGCAAGCCAAATCGTAATCCTACGGCTACTCTAACTTGTTCGTCGTTTACCACCGTTCCCAAGCAAGCTGCCGGTAACGCGTGCAACCATGCCGCTGACTCCTTTTCGGATGCCGCTAATAATGCTGCCATTACTTGCGGCTTACCGCTGGCCTTCGCTTGTAGGCGTATCTGGGAGTATACACGTTCCACGACCGGCCAATCCCAGCTTTTCTGATGTTTTCTTAAATTTTCCGGGGGCAGTTCGCACTGATACATCTTAACCCACTTCTCCATAGCCTGATCTAGACCCGATAACCGGTCGACGGGAAGCATTTCCAGGCACACTGGCAAAGCCGAGGACGCCGAAGCGATAAACGCTGACAAAGCTAGCTCCTCTGCCCGCCGTATTCCCAGACCTCCCCGACCGACCGGAAGAGTCATTTGTATCCAGCTCTTGTCGTCGATATGAGCATTAACAATTGTAGTAACCGCGCTTCGCATTAAGTTGTCGAATTCCCGCAGGGCCTCGGGGTGTTCGTAGCACTGGCTGCTGCGCAACGTATGCATTAATTTTGGCACGCTGAGACAATTTCGGAGCAGGTACAGTGCTTGTTGGGACGGCAACAGTTTCAGCTTTTCGACCAACCGCTCGATCTGTTGAATTTTGCCTCTCAAGAAGGTTGGCACTGCGACTACGTTAACAGGTGCTCCCAGTAGCGTCAGGCTTTCGCTTTCTAAAATTTCAAAATCTGGCCATTCCCAAACCAAACGGTGCTTAAACCAACCAAATATAAATAAATATAAATAAATATAAATAAATATAAATAAATATAAATAAATATAAATAAATATAAATAAATATAAATAAATATAAATAAATATAAATAAATATAAATAAATATAAATAAATATAAATAAATATAAATAAATATAAATAAATATAAATAAATATAAATAAATATAAATAAATATAAATAAATATAAATAAATATAAATAAATATAAATAAATATAAATAAATATAAATAAATAAAAATAAATAAAAATAAATATAAATAAATATAAATAAATATAAATAAATATAAATAAATATAAATAAATATAAATAAATATAAATAAATATAAATAAATAAATATGCTGATAAATATGAGTTCGAGTAGGATCGGATCGATACGGCCACGGGTACGAAATATAGTATCTGTATACCAACTGCAGTTTCATCGTAATTAGTGCCGTCGACGTCGCCGCCACGGTGCATACACGTACTGCCCGCAAATGCCGCGCACATACCGTTTAGCGCATGCGCAGCTGCAGAAGTACTTCTACACACAGTGTACACATCAACCGGATCATCGGCAGAAGCATGACGCGGCATTGACAAATACGCCGTGCATTTAACGTACAAGTATCCCGGTTAATTACCTTAGCTTAGCGGAATATTCCAGCGATTATTCGGATTGATTGCGGACGGACGCAAGAAAAATGCGGGACATTGATGATGGCGGAGTGGAGCAGCGAATCCGCTGGATGCGGACAGTTATACTGCTCCTGCTCGTGATAACTATGTTTCCCTTGTGTTATGGCTTCACTAATCTCAAACTCGGCCAGATTCCCGTAGTTGGTAATGTTCTAAATATCGCTGAAAATGTTTCTGATTTTCTTTTTTAATAAGCAATCTACTGTAAAGTTTATATAAGCAAGGTTTTTCTAAGCAGGAGCTTTTCTTGCCGAAACTACTTGCTTGTTCTTCTCGCCGAAATTCTTTTTCTTGTTCTTCTTAATAATAATCTTCTGTAGTTGATTAATACAAAACTATGCTTCACGTCATGTGATCATATTATGAAATACATTTGTTTTCTTAATAAAGTTTTAAATCTCGCGATAATATTTACTACATCTAATTCGACGTTTTTCGCAATCCTTACAAGTTTTTCGCCACTTATAAGTATATACGGTGATATACAATACGTATACAATGTTATGTACTTACAGAGACGCGCAGCCTGTCCAACTTCACCATCCTCGACTCGGCACTCCCCTTCAAAGTCTTCGTCCAACTGGACCCCAAGACCACCCAGCCGACGATGGACGTGGCCGTCCTCAACCGCACCCTCCTCGACCAGATCACCTGGAGCGTTGACACGGTCAAGGGGGTCCTCCGCCTCTCCTACAACCCCTCCGCCGCCCCCACCGACAACCTCCAGGGCTTCTTCGGCAACATCGGCGGCCTGACCGGCAACTCGGCCTTCTCCATCTTCGGCTCGGGCCAGGTGACCATCAACGGCGTCACCGTCACCGGGGGGAACGGCGCCCCGTCCATGAGCGGGAAGGAGGCCGAGGTAACCATCCGCACCAGCGCCTTGACCGCCATCCTGGCCGACGGGTCGGGGGACATCGAGGTGCAGTCGCCGGTGGTGGTCGCGGGGACCCTGACGCTCTCCGTCACCGGGTCCGGGAGTATGGGGCTTCCCAGTGTCACGGCGGACACCCTGCAGGCCTCCATCACCGGGTCGGGGACCGTGAAGATCGCGGGGGGAAAGGTCAATACGGCTAGTATCTCCGCGCACGGGACTGGGTCCTTCGACGGGGAGCGGCTACAGGTGGGGAGCGCCAATGCGTTGGCCTCGGGGATGGGGAACATCGCGGTCAGTGTTAGCGAGAATCTGGTGGGTTCGCTGGCCGGAATGGGCGGGATCAAGTACCACGGGACGCCCAAGGTCAACGTCCAGACGTCCGGGTTGGCGCAGGTCACCAAACTGGACACCGCTTAATATTCTCAATAATTTCCATTTGTTTCTCAAAGCGCTTTAATGTGCTCAAGCTTTTTATACCGTTCTACGCGCGCAGCTCTGTGAGTTTGTATTTCTCCTGATTATTTAAGGAATCAATGTGTTACCTTATATAATTATTCAGTTTTTGTCATCATATTAATTTTGTACCGGAACTGCAAAAATTATAATATGAAAGAGTGTTTATCGACTTTTGCGACTATTGCGCAGCAAAAAAAGCTGGAAAAAAAGCAGACAATTTATTTATTATGTTGTTTATTATGTTTGTGTATTTTGTAATTTTGTTGTTTAGTGTCACCTTATTTATTGTGTTGTTTCTGTTTTTTTAATTTATTTTTTTAATTTATTTATTTTTAGCAGACAAATTACTTATTTTGTTATAAGGAAAATAGCGCAATATTCATTGTAGTGCGCGTGGACGGGTACATGAGCGTGTAACGACCACTCTACAGTCTGCAGGCCGGGCTAGAGTACCTGTACAGTAATGCTAAAGTATACCAAACATCTGGTTAAATTCTTGGATCGTCGCAAGACGAACGAGTGCGAAAGCATTTGCCAAGAATGTTTTCATTAATCAACATGCACTTGAGGTAACCAGGAACCGTGTGTTCCTTATTCGCACAGATTAATACTGCGCCTAAGGCCACTGAAATAAAATCAAAATAATCATGACCAATCAAGCGTGGACAAGTTGTTGGTACAAGCATCCAAAGCACGAGATTCCAGCGTGGATAAGTACCGGATACTTGCAGCACACAAGCCGGCATGCCAAACCAGCAATCCTGGTGTATTGTACGTACAAAATGTACCGTAAATGCGTTAATACACCGCATACAGAACATAGTCATTAATGTGTATCGCTACTCGATAGCTTGTTTTATTAGCCGGCAAAGCGAGAATGTATTCGAGCGGATATCGCTCTATAGTGAAAAACGGGTTCGGCATCGATTCATCGTGAGCATGACGCAGCCGAATACGAACACCGATCGAGCGTTAAACCACGCTGTAAATAATCAGTTAGCGTTTTCCCGATAAACAGCCCAAAAAGAATTTTCGAAGAACGTGGAATTCCCACTGGAAAAACTGTTTTGTATTATTAATTTTGTATAGTTGACCTTTTCGTATCAACGGTTGGGTTAATTATGGCTCAAGGTAAGACCGGAAGTGGATCTGATGAAGATGCTCTAAATGATCGATTAGAAGCATTCTTCTGTTTTCTCATGTTTTCTTACGCTTTCTTATGTTTTCTGATGTTTTTTTGATTGTATGCTAGACCGACGCGATCTGGCTGATTTCTCGGCCGTGCAGTGCAGCGCCCCCTTCCCGGTGACGCTGCGCATCGCGCCCGGGACCTCCAGCGTCCTCCTCACTGCGTCGCAGGATTTCGCGGCAGAGCTGGCCCGCGTCCAGACCGACGTCAGCAACGGCACCCTGACCATCTCTTACACCGGCCAATTCAGTTCCGCCGGTGCCTCCGCTTTCGGGGGCAGTTTCGCAGGAGGCGCGGTGTTCGCGTCGGGAGGCTCGTCGTTCTCCAGCAGCACCAGCAGTTCGGGCGGGGAGAGCGTCAGCATCATCAACGGGGTCGTGTACCGCAATGGGCAGCGGGTCGATGGCGGTGACGAGGGCGGAGCTGGGTAAGAGAACATAAAAGACATATGTTAATATAAAAGAAAATTTCAATTTGTGTAAAATACTCATTAAAATTTAAATAAGAGCCTGAGAAATATATGCGCGCAAAGCAAATTGCTTAATTTAAAATTTCATTATTGTGTAAAGTACGTGCCGCACTGAACGTGTGAAACAGGATTTGTAAAATAATTTGTTTCACTGTATATTAATTATTTAAAAAAATAATTAAAATGAATACCCGTTTAAGTGTGAAGCGTTCAAAAAATATTCAAAAATTCTTACCGATTAATTTCCAGCTGTTCTCATTATTTCTACCATGTAATAAAATAACTATTTAAAAATAAAGCTTCAGGGAAAAATAATAATTTCCAGCCGAATAGTTTCAAAGCGCACTTAACAATGCAAATATTTATTAAGACAAATATTTAAAAAAGTGGGAAAGCTTCCCGTCGATTTTGTTCAGAACGTGGCTACCTACAATTTCAAGGTTTTAGTAGCATTTGAAGAAACCGTGGAAAAAAAACCCAAAAAATTCCAGACACGTAAAATAAATATCACAAAAATGTCATTGGAAAAATTCATGCCCGAACTGTGTACCGTAGGGGCGCCATGCCGGACATCCGCATCACCGTAACCGCCGCCCGCTTCGCCGCCCTGACCCTCGCCGGCGTCGGGAGCATCGGCAACGAGTCCGTCTCGGCGCTGACCGAGCCGGAACTGGAAGTGCAGTTAACCGGCACCGGCCAGCTGCGTCTGTCCAACATCCAGGCCGACACCGTCCGCGCCAGTTTGAACGGCACCGGCCAGATGTCCCTGTCCGGCGGGGCCACCACCCTATCGGCGAATTTACAGGGAACCGGACAGTTGGAAGCCCTGGAGCTGCCGGTGCAGGACGCCGAAGTGTGGGTGGCCGGCACGGGTCAAGCAAAGGTCACCGTCGCCCAACGCCTGTCCGGCGGAATCCAGGGCGTGGGGGCCATCGGCTACCGCGGGGATCCGCAGTTGGACGTGCAGAAATCCTTCACCGGCCGCTTATACAAAATTCCCTGAATTTTTCCACGATTTCTCGCCGTTTTTGGGATTTTAATAATTTTCTCGAAGATTTTTATTGCCATTTTACGGGATTAGCTTTTCTGTTGTTCTTGTATTTTATATTCAATTTTTGCTGACCAGAGCCAGTTACGCAAAACACTAAAAATGATGTTTAATGATGATGTCGTGTATTTTTTTAAAGTTTAAAATTTGACTATTAAGTGGTGTACCGGCGCCTGCAGTCATTGTTATACTGGCGGCTATGGCCCATTAAAGTTTATTTAAACATTAAAAAAATGATTTTTTTTAATACGACGCTAGATTTTCCTTGGCAGTTTTTAGTTTTACAGAAATAATTCGGATATTAACTTCTGGATGATTTGTATCTGAATTTTGCACGTGAGTACTGAATTGTTTCTCTACTTTTTAGAAGTTAATCCGGCGAATAACGATGAATTGAATGAATAACGGACATTTGTTATTTTTTTGAGAGAATAAATTTACGATAAATTAAATACTGATTTCTGTTTAATTCTTAGCGAATGATTTTTGGAGATCGGGAATCTGCTATTAATTTTTTATATAAATATTTATTTTTTAAGCAGGATACGTCCTCAATTTTAATACTTTTTTCTGATTATTTCCCGGCGAATTTTTCCAAACGAATGCTGTTTCCTAGTACGAGTATTACATCACCCACGACCAACTTCTCAAAATCGAATATTTTTCCCATTTCATTTTCACACGAAAAACGACCGGAAACCCGGCCAGGCGGACATATATACAAGAAGACAGCGTAAAACCGGAAAAACCAGGAAAAAAAATGATTCCGTCACACGCGCAACGCAAAAAAAACAAAAAGTGCACCCATCGTATCAACAAAAATTCGCGCAGCGTATACAGTGAAGCGGATAAAAAATGCGCGGAAAATAAATTCAAAATCCGTCCAAAAAATGCTCCCTAATTGTCCAATGGTCCGGCGCCTGAGAAAACCGCTATTTCCGGTGGGCGAGTGATAAATCTGATAAAAACGGAGGCTCTCTCTTATATGTATCATCCAAATCACACATTTCTCCCGAATAATCCCACGTCACTGGGTGCGCGGCGGCGGGACGGGTTTATCCTGGGACTGGTTAAGATCGCGCACCCGCAGCACGTAGTTGACGGGCAGGGCCTCCTCGTAGCCGCCCTTGGAGCGCATCTGGCTCTGCACCGCCAGCAGCTGCAAAAATAAAAAATGAGCGAAAGTTGTGAAAAAATACAGCGTCATAACGGCACGTTTTTCTATTAAAAATAACACGCTCTGCACCGCCCCACACCGGCCAACCCCCGTAATGCGTGTCATTAGGTCAAACGCTGACGATGCTTTCTCCCCACTTCACTTGCAACTCGTCAGCTAATTTTCTCATCAATTTTATTCCCAATTTTCCTGGCAAAAATTTAAACAATTATTAAACTAAAAATTTATAAATAAATTTAAATTTTTTCAGCAGCAGAACGAAAAATAATCACGTACACACAAGATGAGAATTAAATAAAATTGAGTTAAAACATTTACAAATAAATTTAAGCACAAGCCAGTTTATTTCCAATTAACACGGTTAAAATTATAATTAAAACAAAAGCCACGCCACAGATTATATTATAAAATTTAAAGACGATTAAAAATAAATCCAGAATACCAATAAGTTTAATTAAACGAAGATCTATTTAATAAAATTTGAATGTACACTGAATAATTATAAACAACGGCATAGAAATGAAAAATAAAAAATTCATAACACAAAGAAAATTAAATCACCAACTACAAAATCCAATATAAAAATCTTAAAAATAATATTTAAAAAAAGTAAAAAAAAACCAACGACAAATTTGCGTTAAATAAATCAACCGGCGAAAAAGTTATCCTTCTGAAAAAAAATTTATTCCATGTTCCATGACCTATTTCAAAGTTCGATTTCTTCTGTCATTTATTTATTCAAATCTGTTGACTTTTTCACTTTGACGGAGAAAAGCGTAATTTCCACTGTGATCTATCGCCACCGGAAGCGATTGAAAGTTATCCAAATAAAAAAAATTTCATTGACTCTCACCCGGGAAAAAATTGAAAAATCCGCATTTATTCCCACGCGGGCACTTTCTCGTTGGCCTGCCCGTGTTCCCGGGTTAAATCTCCCTTTCGTATTTTTAATCACCCGACAGAATGTCTAATCCCTTTCGTGTCAACGCTGCCAAACACCAGCCGAAGTTCACCGTTACAACGAACGCGCACTTGTTGTGAAAACGCTCAAGCGCTTAGCGGATAAATCGCGCTCTTCTCACCGCGCGTCAAAATTCGCTAGTAATCAAGAGCAGCACTGCAGGCGGTCGCAGCTGTTGCCGAAAAAAAAAACTCAGTATTATTCGGCCGACAATCGTTTATCTTCCATCACAAAGCCATTACACTACTTTTGCTTTTTCTCTTTTCAAGCGCAATTACCAGGCCCACTTGCGCCGCATCCGAAAATCGGACACCGCAAATCGGCGTGAAAAGCATAAATACAGAGAAAATCGTTAGAAAAACGCTGACAAAAAATTTTATAAAAATTAAATTTAATATTACCAGATATTTTACTAAAAATCTAAAATTACTACCGAGAAAAATATTCATAGTATAAAATTCAATAAAACTGTTAACATTGAAGATGCAAATTATTCTGTGAAGCAAAAACGGATGAACTGTTATAACAGCATTTTTTAAAAAGATTCCAAAATATTGCTCTGCTAAGTTCTTGTAAACTGACAAAACTCCTGATGCGAGCTGCCACACGTAATCACAAGCCACTTTACTACACATTTCATGACTTCCATTAAAACTTTAATGTCGCCTGCTTATACACATGATACGGAAACTTATCATAAAATTTTTAAATAGCCAGTTAATAATTGTAAAATTATTATAATAATTGAAACACCCCAAAAACACGTAAACGCATGAGAAAACACGCCAACAATTTTCCAAAATATTAACAGTACTATCTGGGCTTTACAGTAAAAGAAGCAAAAAATCGCTGATGTATAGCACTAAAATATTTACAAAAATCCAAGTCTTCAAGCAAAAATTAACATTTATTTAAATTCAACCTAAATACAATTCGTAAATGATTTGAAAAAAATAGTAGCTAAATTATACAAGAAAATCATTGGTAATCAGGAATTATTTGGTTAATAAAGTAGAAAATATTTAGGAAAAAAACTGTAAAAGAAAAAAATATTATCTATTAAATATAACAGCCTTTACAAAATTCATGAATAAATTTCACAGTTTTTGAACCGCACTTGAAGGCAAAATCCTTTATAATCAGCACTTATTTTTCTACTACTGGAATAAAAATATTTACAGAAAAAGATTTCAAGGGAAAAGAAAATACGACTGATTGCACAGTAGAATACAACGCGATAATTGTGAGAAAAATCGCAATCAATCGAGCGCAGTGCGAGCGGCCGCAAAAACGTCCCTGGCGTGTTTATTTCCGGGCAATAAAAATAAGCTAAACGACGGCCGACACAAGGCCGGCATTATCGTCTGGGGGGCCCCCGAAACTGGGTCACTTCCGAGGGAAACCATCGCTCGCGCGCGCAGCGGGCGTGTAACACGATCCCGCTGTGTTTATTAACCACGCGAGCGGCCGGCAATATAAATGATCGGAAAAAAAACGCTAAAAGCCACTCAAATTTCCCAGTGTTTAGCTGAACGTCTCTTCCTTACCGACGTGCTGCTCGTTGTCGCTCCCATGTCGGTGGAGCCGATGTGGCCCACATGCCGAAAGTCCGTCGGCAGCCCGATCATTGACCGATCAATCCGCTGCTGCTGCAAAGAAATGCACAAGAAAATGCATGGACTCTTATCTGCAAATCAAGCTTCTATTTACACCGAATTTCTGATCGTTTAGGCAAAAAAATTCCCTAGAAAAAATTTAGAAAAAATTTGTACATGTGTATTGTCATTATTTCAGCAGACTTATTTGCATTCTTTTCGGAGCGGAAAATTGTTTTAAAACTACTATTATTTTCCGCAAATTTATTTAAACTCTTTTAGTGTACAAATCATTTTAGGAACACCATTAATTCCGGCAAATTAATCTGAATTTTTTCAACGTAAAAATTATTTTACAACTACCATTAATTTCGGCAAATTAATTTAAATTTAGTTAAAGTATAAACTACCATTAATTCCGCAAATTTACTTAAATTGCTTTAGCGTAGAAACAGTTTTAAAACTACCAATAATTTCCGCGAATTTGTTGAAATTTTTTAGCGTAAAAATTATTTACAACCGCAATTAATTCTGGCAAATTTATTTGAGTTTTCTTTGGGTCTATCTGTCCAAAATAATTTTTAGAGCCGCCAGTAATACACGGAGAGAGGATAGATATGGCCAAATGGCAGCCATCGTACTACACTTTTCCTGCTTTCAGCACCAGGATCCATTTACCGCAAATGGTCTGACTTTTCGTTAGTACAAAAAAACTGAATTATTCTAAAATGAATTTTTCCATTGATTTAAGCTGTTAATTTTCAGCAACTTTCAGCCATTAATTTTAACAATTTGCACCACAAAAAGCCGTCGTATAATAATTATGAAATTAGAAGAAACCGGAGATATTAACGCACAAAGTCAGCTGCATAAAGAAGCAGCGAAATGATGGATTAAGCAAATTTCCGCGCAACCCTGCGGGAAGGAAAGTGCGTCAGCGCTGTCAATCGCACTCACGATCATCGCCGATCATCTCGCACAATTTGCAAAAAATACTGTGTTCGGCCAGACATATTCGGAAAACGTCAACTCCATTAGCCTGGATCAGCGCCGAACGCCACACGATCGACTCCATCAACAAACGGGCGAAATTAGCGTTGACAGAGGCCAAAACCTCATTACGACAGCCCATTATTACTCGCCTGGAATTTTAACGCCATCGTGTAGGAAAAAATTAAATTAAACTATCTAAAGGGGTGTTTATTTTTACGTCATTTTCAAACATTTAACCACAGGAAAATTTATTTACAGCGAAAACAAAATTAACTGCATAAAGCGTAATAAAACTGGGCATTTTAAGAAGCTCATAATTTATTATTTTCAATAGTTGATTATAATTTTAACTGAATTAAATCAATAAATTCCACGATGGCCTTTTTATTTGTACGCCATTAACAGTGATTAAAATACAGAAATTTCGGTAATTAAATTACAATTACTTCTGTAAATCAAATGGCAGTATTTAGGCAAATAAAATTTTCAAATTTAACTACAGCTCTTGCCTCTTACTAAATTATTTAAAATAAATTACGAAATAAAATATTTTTTCAGCGATTTATTTGACTACAGGAATTTCTGTAATTTAAATTACAGTTTTTAATCAACTAAAATTCCCAAAATTTCAGATACTGTCAAAACTAAAATCCAATAAATCGCCGAAGAGTCCACACTAAGTTAAATGTAAAAATTAGTAAAGTAAATAAATAAATTAAACTATTTCACTTACCGGGGAAGGAGTGGGTACGCCGCAGCAGTTCCGCCACAAATGCGCCACACTCGCCGTCATTTTTCTCGGAAAAATAATTCCCCCGGAAAAAATAATCCCGACGCAACGCTTAACGGGGCGATAGCGCGTTCTCCTTCGTCAAAAAAATTGGCAGCAACAGCTCACTGTTATCCAAACAGCACACTGCAAAAGAATCACAATATCAAAGGGAGAATCGCCGTATTATATACATAACGGTGACACGCTGACGACAGCGTCTTCCATTATTATCCGATGATTAAAAAAGGCAGTGGAGCGTGAAGAGAGAAAAAATCGGGACAATACTGCTTACGGCGAGGAAAACATGATTCAGCTCGCTTTTTGCTGGCTGCTGCTGATGTGCTCAACGTCGCCAAACGCAGTCTGCGCTACAGGTCGACCACGACGGTACGTCACCGCCGCTTATACACACGCATTACGCTGGCGAATGGGCTGGCGTAAATCCGCTGTCAGACTGAACCGAGAGACTAGTGTTGCGTATAGAGTCTGTCTGTCCGGTACCGTAAAGCCGCACTGTCAGACTGAACAGAGAGACCGAGAGTTCTGCGTATAGAGTCGGTCTGTTCAGTTTGAGTATGTAAAGCCGGAGCGAGACTGAACAGACAGAGGACTGTGTAGAGTCTGTCTGCCTCTCTCTTCAGCTGGGCTACGGTAAAGCCGATTACTCATAGCGCGGCAGTCACAGCGGTGAGCAACAATCTGCAACATCCATCTCTTTTTCCTCGATTATCAATCAAATTCACATCGACTCATTCCTTATTTTCCTGTCTACCTCACCGAGCAATCAAATGACAACAGCAACAGTGACCGTGTCATTCTAAAGAAAAATGCATGTTTTATGCGATGTACGGCTTTACCGAATTTTACAGCAGTGTCATTATTTTTCCGAGTGGAAAATAATATAAAAAAATGACTATAAATGATCAGGAACGTATTCGTTACAAGAAATAAACTGTAAAAATTGTTTGCACACGTTTACCAAGTTTGCTGTACACTAAACTAAGTACCTAATCGACAGCACAGTTATTTAAAAAATTCCAGATCATCAAAAAACGATTTTACTCGGGGTTTTCTCAGAAAATTTAGCTTCAAAAAATACTATTAATCCAACATACCGAAAACGGAACGTTCTTTCCTTCCAGAAAAAATCGGGGAAAGGGTTTTCTCGAAGCGAGAAGAGAGTCGAATTTTCAACTATTAACGAATGACAGAGAGAAGCGAATATCGAGCGCACCATAAACTGGAAGCACCCCAAAATGGCGATTTCGGCGATAAGCATTTAATCATAACCGAGCATCGGCACCACTCGAGCCCAAATAAACACATATCCACACCGAGAAATCGCTACAACCATCAGCATTAACCTCCGAACTGTGCCAGCCCCAATTCGCTGTACAAAAACGCTTTTTTTTCTCAAGAAAAAAGAAATTCATGTCAGTGTGTAAATCGACGAAAAGGCGCGAGAAAAAAGAAAGCCGGTCTTTGATTGACCATTCGCAGAGTGAATTAGCCAAACAAACAGCGCATTGTCGACTTCCGCTCATCACTGTCAGACGCGCGGCATTGTTGGCCGGACAAAGACCAACACTCTCTCTCTTCGTCAACACGACACAACCGCTTAGCGGACCCATCACGCTAAGCTCTCGAGATAATCCGCGTACATAACCACTCCCCGACAATCAGACCAATCTTTCACCGAAAACAATTAGGCAGTTGTGCAGTGATCGAGTACTACCGCGACTTCCGGTCAATCGTTCAACGCGCCACAGAAAAAAGTAGATTAATAACTCAGGGAAAAACTGAATTTATTACAAATTTACTAAAAGTCAAGGAAAACTGAACGCGTTTTAACAAAATTATTGAAAGTGAGGAAAAAAAAAGAAATTTTTTACCAATTTACTAAAAATCAAGAAATGTATTCACACCAGATTTTCTGAAAGAGTAGACAAAAGAAATGAATTTATTCACGCTAATGATTTTGGGTGTTTTTTCAATGTTTAAAATTCGGAACTTTTATTAGTGTAAACCCGCGCAGGCGTATTGTTATGTGTAATGGCAGATGCCGAATAAAATAAATCATTTATTCACGTTTACTATAAAGGTCAGGAAAAAATGGAACAATAAAGCCATATACGAAAAATTTATGTAATATTTTGTTTATGGGTTTTTAAAATTTAATTTAGAAAAAATGGTGATTTTTACGGGATATCCACTTTTCCGTAAAATCTTTAAGACTCACCACAACAATTCCAATATCACGAATTCATCGAAAATTCTGGAATAGACCTTCCGGTCAAATCACCGCGCACTACGCTCAACAAAATTATCAATTCAAATTGTGAAAGTATCCAAAATGTATAACTTCCGGTCAAAATTTTCAACGCGATTAAAAAAAAGGTTAATAAATCGGGAAAAAAATCCGTAAATAATTTGGCAATTTTTATTCAGAGAAATTATTTGGCTGGTTGCGTGTGCGTTAGAAAACTGAAAGAAAACCGCAGTATATTGCTTTTAGAAAGTGCAAAGGTCCCTTGGCAGCCGCAGCCGCGTCACACATCGTTAGCGTCCAAACCGTACACTTTTTGCTTTCCGCACAGCTGATGCTGCATCGCAGATTCGCAGTGCAGTAAAAAGAAAGCATAACACGATCTGCGCGCAGTGCATGCCACTCGTATTTTGACGGCGTTCCAACAACATATGCTTTTCTGTACACCCGCTCAACCGGAGCGCCACTCCATATCGTAACGCGATTATGACAATTTATCAATAAATTCGCCAGAGTAAATTGGATAAGCACTATCGTATACAGTTGCATATAGTGGGCGGATATCAGCGTCGGCTGATGTTTGGCTAATGCATTAAGCATTAAACAGCTGCAGATTATGCAAGCACCCAAACGGAAGTAACAACAATTTGTAACGAGCATAATTTTACACTAAGAATTTCATTTTTAAAAAAATTAAAAATTGCCACGCTACAAAAAACAAAAAAATTTAAAATTACCACGCAATTCATACAACAAAATAAAGCATTCTTAAAAATGTCATTATTTCACTAGCAGTGTTTACAATTATTCAAAATAAATCATAACAGTAAAAAACTAGCGATTTAAAAAAAAATAAAATTAAAACATTTTCAAAAAACCAAATTCGTACGAATTCCAATAAAGAAAACAGAAAGAAATTCGAAGAAATGGTGAAAAACTTTAAAATAAAGAAAATCCGGAACTTCTTACGATTTTGAAAGACGTAAGAAATTCAGTAAACAGAAAACAGAATTCATCGTTTCAATAAATAGAAAATAGACAAAAATTCGCAAAACTAGTGTAAAGAAATTCATCTTGCCTATTAAATGCACAAATGCATAAATGATTACAAAAAAAATAAAAAGAAAAGTACTGAAAAATAATGTATGCTAAAATCAGAATAAATAAAATTCATTTAAAATAATAAATGTTTACCGTCACGTAAATGGTGTTGGGTTGGTCTGATATCAGTTCTCACGAAATAAAACTACTCGAAAATCCGAGACAGGTGTGACGCGGAAGAATGACAGATCAATGTAAAAAAACACCTGACATCGGTGATCGGTGTACTTGAACAATTTCGGCGATATGTGTATCGCGTCAATTAACACATCCGGGAGCTTGGATAAACAAGCGTCAGCCGAAAGTGAAAATAATGCGCCCGTCGCATCTGCCGGGCGCTTCCGCGTCAGCACAAAATCAACACTCTTGTCCGCCAAACAACGGCATATTTTATACTAGTAGTGAGAATACCGGACGAGTCAGCAGCCGGAGAAGCAATTCAAACGCCAAACACTGTCGCCGATTCCACGTAAAAAAGCGCGCACGCTTCAATAAATAAAGTGCAATTTAAAAAACAAATTAAATCAAACAGGATCAAACTAGATAATTTAAATAAAACTAATTAAAATTGAATGGAAACTCCGGAAAATTTTTTTAGAATTTTTAATCATTTAATTAAGAAATTAAATTAAATTTTAAATCTTAATCAATCAGAAGTAATGTACAGTCATGAAACCAGAAAATTATTCTTTTTTAAATAATTAACAACTTACCGTTGATTAATTTGTACGTTTGCTATTCCATGTTCTCTCAATCAAACGCAGTTTCAATTAGTCCCAAGTAACGTATATCAAAAACAGAAATTTTTCGCACAGAAAATTGATGGGGTCGGCGGTAAAATGGCAAATTAGCAAGGAAATTAACCCAATTAGCGTCGTTATTTCTCAAGTACCGTACGTACTTACAAGCAGATTAATAGCGGCGCAGATGAATGATCGATAGGAGCGCGGCATACATAATTCGGCCAAGAAACGTACGCGCGAGCGTACTACACTTACAGCCAGTACTGAGGTACTCGTTACAACACGTGCGCAACAGCAAAATTAAGTGAGTACTGACATTAATTACAAGCAAATTAAACGACAATCGCGCTCTTTCACCCTCCGAATCTCACACGCCAAACATACCCTAATCTGACTAGCAGTTCACTGTCAAATGTCAACTACGAAAAGCTGCAGACATTCAGCTACAATATTGAACCGATTAAAACGGCTTGACACAAGATGGAAATGAAGATAAAAAATTAAGTTTCGCCGTACAGCGTACCTTGCAATTGGTTCTCGATACACTCGATAACCGTGCACGATGATTTTTGCCACGGTTTTCGTTTCGCCGCTTTGCCTGTATAGCTGAATCCGTAAATAAACAGCCAATGATGCCGCTTGAAACGGCGGAGGAAAAAGACACCGGTATTCCACTCAGCCGTAGAAAAAAAGCGTCCTCGTCGAGTGTATCGCCAAAAACGGTGAAGAACCGCGCAAAATTCAGAAAAAACGCAAAATTCAGCAAACTGCAAACGTTGTCGTTGTACACTCTGTCTTTTTCTCTGACTGCGGTGTATCTTCTCCAGATCGCCAGTCCACGATTGACGATGTCACGATGGTCGATATATTTCTTAAGAAACTTTTGCGAAGCAGCAGAAACCAATGACAAATAAAATTCTGCTGAGAAACATTTAAAATTTAGATTTTAGAAACTGTTTAAAAAAATCCAAGCGTTGATAACTTGATGCAACATGAAGAGAAATTGCTAAGAAAATAGCCTCCTCGTGGCGGCAGCTGCCACCGCCTTCATGAGCGCAATGAACTGCTGCACTTGTACCCGCTACCCAGTTTTCTCAAGATTCCAATTATTTGTAAAAGTCACTGTGAGTCTGTGACTAAAACCGTGAAGAGTTCTTCGTTGGATGACATTTCCAAACTCTGCCGAATTCGTCTCGCATAACATACTTTAATAGTCAGAAGTGTTTTCAATTCCATCTCTGATCGAGCGACGACGGGCTGCACCAACGTCATCGGCGACCTGCACGATGCTGGTTTACGGCGACAACGAGCACAACGTGTGCGGATGGAACACGGTGAACGTCCTCGTCGACGGACTGCTGCAGCACGGCCGCGTCATCAACATCGTCGACACCGGTCTGATCGTTGATTTCGGATGTGCCACCCAGTGTGCGCAGTTCGTCGCCTCCGGGCGCATTTTTCACAGTGAGTATTTCGACAACAGACCCGACGCGGGCGATGACGCGGTGCAGGTGCTCCTGCGCCCCCATCCCACTGCTCCCTGGACGTGGTATCCGGGGAAGATCTTGGCCCTGGGAGGCTACAGTACACGCGATTGCGATGCGCACTTCGTGGAAGTGACGCTGCCGTACGGCACCATCAGGGAACTCCTTCCCTGCTTCCAAGTACGCCGACCGCCCACGGATGCAGAGTATCAAGAAGGGCGTGTGGAGAAGAATGATTTTCTCATCCGCTGTTGCCCGCTACCGGCCGCCTACTGGTCCGATGGAGTGCCCGCGGTGCATGAGCGGTTCCAGGCAGGGTTGAGCCGACGCTATGATGTCCTGTGCACCGTCGTGCTCAGCCAGGCACTGCTGTACCTGCAGTGCAAGCTTGACACTCCACTGACGATTCAGCAAGTGGTACGTATCCATACGTACGTCATACGTTGCCGACGATAGCATTTTAGATTATCAGTATTGATTTTATTTACATTAATGAAGAACATTTACTCGTAGTACAGTAGTTAGTTTATTTAGTTTAGTTACGATTTTTATCAATTAGTTGTACTCAAGTGTAGGGCCCACTATAAGAATTCTGCAATTACTGCAGTACTTACTTCAAGCACGAGTTACTTATTGATATTTTTGTAATTATCACTTATCAGGAATAAATTTTAATCGGTGACTATTGCCTATTAAATTTAGCTCATACGGCTACAAAAAGTTGAGGAAGCCATAGGCAAAAAAAACGATATTAAATCACTCGACGTGGACAAATGTTGGTTTCAGGAAGACGTCTATGGGGAAGCGAAGAACGGGACGCCGGAGATCTGCTCAGCAGGGTTATGGTCCCCTATGATTAATGCATCCATCCTGAAAGGCCGGTTTTCTTGTTTGTACGAGGACGTCGAAATTCCTAGACCGAGCCCGCCGTTGGCCATTCATCTGTGGGTGGAAATCTTCCAGACGCTAGACTCTATCGAGCGTGTCCGCTGTCGTCGTGTATGTCCGTTGTGGAACACCCTACTCACCACCGACGTATACTTCCCCGATGTGCGCGTGTCCGGCAGTTTAATCAGTGCCTACGGTGATGTGGGCCTGTCGGATTATGAGCAGCAGCAGCATCCAGTACGTACTGGATGGTCAACTGTCTGCTGAAATGTTTCAACAGCCGCACCAAGCGGCTCGTGCTGACGGATACCGGCTTATGGGAACCCGATGACTTGTTCCCGCTCATGCGGCACATCCTCCACACCAGCCGAATCCCGCTACTGGTGCTCGACCGGTGAGATTATTAGCTCATCCCAGTGCTAATCTGTAACCCGAACAGGGGTTGTTTGGGCCTGTCAAACTCCCCTGTTCGGGGCCAGAAACGAAGTCCGAGGTGCCGTTGTGCGGGCCAGAGACCTCAGGCCTACCGGCATACGGGCGGAAGGCCTATTTGTAGACCCACTCTAAGCAAGTTCTGGTTCCGTCTGGGCCTATCTAAACACGATATGCAACAGCGTTCCGGCCCAGTCCAAACAGTAAATTTATTTAGAATTTCAGTTGCTTTTTTATTTTGTATTTTACTTAAATCCAACGCTTTACATGACTTAGAAGCTTTACTATTAAGTGACATAATAGGCTTTGTTAATATTTATAGTAGCGCATCACATGCACTGATCACAAGTCTGCATTAATCACGGCATAAACATGGAAAAACAGGATGCACAGCAGCTATATGTAAATTCATTTTTCAAGATTTCGGCTCAATAATTTCGTAATTAACATTGTTACGTGGGGCCTTATGGGCGCCCACGTACCTTCGACGGCGAAACAGCGGCGAACCCGGATTGAGGCTTTAATGCCGAAATCTAACTCGCGCACCGTGGCGCAGCAACACCAGACTAATGAGATCGGATCCTACAGCCAGCGCAGCTGTGCTGTAGGTCCGTCAAACACCACAGAAATGTGTGGGATGGAAATCCCCAGAAACAGCGAAACACAACGGCGAATGGCCAATCGTGAAGGCGGAGCTATCGGCCTTCACATCCCTGTACTGTCCAACACTGAGCCCCTGCGAAGTGCATGAAAAATGGCGGTATGCGCCGTAAATAAGAAAATGTCAGTATGCATGCAGTAAAAGTAACATAAGATCAAATGAGAAAAAAAACACTGCGTAGTACAGGCCCGTCCCTGTACTATGTCCAATTGACTTTACTACCGGATACACGGTTCCACTTCGGGCGGCTTACGGTCCGGTTCGGTCAGTCCAGGTCGGGTAAGGTGGTCCGGTCGGCTCAGTCTTGTCGGCTCGAATCCGGTTCGGCTCAGGTCGGGTTCCGGGTCAGGTCGGCTCCGGTTCGGTCAGAGGTCGACCTATTGGGTCAACGCACTGTCGCGAAAGATCCAGGGTCCAACCCGGAAAACAGGCAAGTTCCGGTTTCTTCAGCAGGGAAAGGTCACGTTCTGGAGAAATTTGGGCAGGGGTTTGGGGCATCGGTACGCTCGTGACCCTGCAAACAAACAAATACGTTGCTCCGGTGGGGATATTCCACTGCTCCGTCCGGGTGAAGGTCGCCATCCCAGGAAATACGGGCAGGGCTCTGGTGGGGGGAATTCTTCGGCGTGATGCTGGTGGTCGATCCGGCCGTAGGGATCGGAGTTGGTGCTGCTGGTCGCGGTGTATCCGTTCTGGTTTCCCGCTGAATCCGGGCCGCGTCCGCCGTCGGCATCGCAGGAGACGATTCTCGCTCCGCGGCATCATCTCCATCGCTTTCTGGTGGAGGCATCCAATGCGTTCCGCATCGGGGTGCATTCTGCACGGCAGGTGGCTTATCCCGGGGGGCTACGGATGGAGCTCCATACCGGGGGTTGCATCGGCAGCGATCTGGTCCACAGCTCAGAGGTGGCCCGTGAGCGGGGCAAGCGCGCTGTGGGAACACGATCGTCACCGTGATCTGCTACCATGTTACGTGGGGCCTTATGGGCGCCCACGTACCTTCGACGGCGAAACAGCGGCGAACCCGGATTGAGGCTTTAATGCCGAAATCTAACTCGCGCACCGTGGCGCAGCAACACCAGACTAATGAGATCGGATCCTACAGCCAGCGCAGCTGTGCTGTAGGTCCGTCAAACACCACAGAAATGTGTGGGATGGAAATCCCCAGAAACAGCGAAACACAACGGCGAATGGCCAATCGTGAAGGCGGAGCTATCGGCCTTCACAACATTCGCATCAGCTTTGCTCGAAGGCACATCCGACTTGATGGTATACAGCTTCTTTCCCAAGTTCTTCTCATCGGAAATATTTGGCAGCTTCAGTGGGTTCATGCGCGTGCTGGCATCGGGCAGGCGTTCGGGAAAAATTTTCATCGGAAAAGGGAGAATTTATGAGGAAAATCCTGAAATTAAATATTATATTCATTAGTCCATGCAAATAAAATATACAATATTTTTGCTGTTTGCATATTGATGCTGATACTCAACACAGACAATACTGTATGCGAAGTACTTTTAACGCGCGCACGGACCTGCATGGGATCATCTTGTTTTCTAATTTTCTAATATTTCCACATGTTTTGGAACTTTCATGCTCGATCCTAAACCACGGGAGGCTTCGACAAGGTGGATCTTCAGTGGAAAAGAGGTTTTTGACAATCAGTGAACTGACGCAAGTCGAGAGCTGGCAAAACCCACTAACCGTTGCAACCCACTAACCCACTAACCGTTGTTGATGTAATCCTGTTAGCTTTTAGCTTGGAATTTGTGTATTTATTTTTCGTTTATACCTTTCAAATTCATAGTGTAATATTATATTAATAATTATCATTACGAAGCTCTAGGTTCGGACCGGATATACGTGCGTAGTACGCACATTGCATACAGTATAGTCTACATACATGTACTTACACACCTGCTGCCGGTTAATTATCATGACTTGTAATTCGATAGGAATTTTGTAACGGACACCGCTAGATTTTGTTGGCTACCTGAATAAGAATACTCAAATAAAGAAAATTTATTTGTGGGCCAGAACTATGATTTTCTGGGCCAGAATATTTCAGCACTACGCTGGGCAAGTTCTTCCCACGAATCTGAACCAGATCTGGCCCACAATACGTTGGCCAGGAAATGCCATTATCCTGGAACAGAATATGCTCCGGATAGGCCAGAGTGTTTCGTGCCCCGATCGGCCTTGATTTCGTTTCTAGAAATTGCACTGGGATACTGTGTCGTGGAGTCAGATTGGTAGGATCGATGTTAAAGCGGATGAATGTTGTCTAAGGCGGTGCACGATGTGTGACTACCTGTTCTGACCAAATCACCATGCGCGCAGCATGACTAGACACATTTATCGGAAGCTGCCCATTCTATTTCTAAACCTGATTTTAGTTTCGTTCTGCTTACGTTCATACGTGATGACATCTGATAAATTAGGCCTGCGTTCTGGCCGCACAGTGAACTGGTGTTTCTCGATTCGCGTAATCGTAATCATAGCTGACTCATGACCTTGCTTTCTTTTCCCACCTGTACAATCGTAAGCTCCCTCGAAGCGCTGTATAAGCAATTCGAGTTGAGATGCTTTTAGAGCATCGTTTTAATATTACGGTACCTAATTTGACTAATTATCCTTCTTGTCTTTCGGTTACAGGTGTGACTTCAGTGAGTCATTTGGCGACATGGCGAGCCTACTGAAATGCATGGCCCGCGTGGCGGTGGGGTATTTGTCACTGTTCGAGAGGATCGTGTGGAAGCAGTGCTCCATCGAAGAAGACTGTCTCAAGGTTCTGGTGAAGCGGCACAATTTCGCGCCCTGTCGATGGAGGGGATGCAGTTGGCGCTGTGGGATCTCTTCGAGAACAGTCTGGTTCTCCCGGAGCCGTTGGACCGCTTGGAATGGTTCTCCCGGAGCCGCTCGGCAAGGGGTACAGGGACATCAAACAGAGCAGTTTCGGGCCTTGGGCCGTGTTTTAAAGCGCTTAACACAGTTTGTGTATGGACAATATACTTAAAGGGACCGTGATATTACTAAACCACCCATAGAGACCTTCCAGTGGTCACCTATTTAAGTCAATGGGCGACATAACTTCAAGGGGCCAGGCTGCAGTTATTTGGCCCCAGAACCAATACTCAGTGAAGTTAATGGAAGTATTAAAACTTCAACCCTGTCAGCACGATGCTGTAGAAGCATACTGTACAATACTGCACATGGTTCGGCCAGCACACCTTCACCGGTCAGTTCTGGAACCACCAGGCCTGTACCGCGACACTCTGAAACTACCGGACGGCTGGACCTCGGTCCCTTTCAGCCAAGGCAAAGCTTTGGTTTAGGAAGTCACCTGATCGGACACCATGGCCAATTCCCACCCTTAGGAGATCCCAGGAGGCCGGGGCTGCCGCCACCATGGCAGAGGCAAAAAAAACATAAGCTCGGATATTTACGCGATAATTTAAACATTCTCTGTTCCTTGGGGTACTATTTTTATTGCACCTTGCTAAGCCAGTTTGAACATCCAAAACACACACAAGCATGACACAGCATCAAAAGACAGCGGAAACATGCGGCCGAATGCGGCCGAACTTCTCTGTTTTAGTCTTTGAAACAATGGGCGTGTGCGGGAAAGGAGCGAAATTTAAGAAATGCGGTAAAATGCTCGGTAAAATGCTTTTTGAGAGGACACTGGAGAAACGGTCCACTCAGTTTCCCAAGCAGAGAATCTGTGTTGCTATGATGCGAGGTAACGCTGCCTGTGTTCAGAAACGTTTTGTATCGGTAAGACATGGTGCCGATAAATTAGAAGAATTTTTTCCTATTTTTGTTGTAAAACTCATGCATTGTAACTGTCTTGTGATATTAAAATGATGTGTTGAAATGATGAGAACTGCTTAATTTTGAGTTTAACCAATGTTTACTTGAATAACCCAATAAAGTCCATACTTGAATAACCCAATAAAGTCCATGTAGGTATACGTAATACGATTAGAGAATAATGCAGAAGCGCTGCACTCGTACAACCGCGATCTCGAGGGGTTGGACTAAACCCACGTTTTAATCCGAAATACTCTAAACCCCCTCAAACGGCAGCTGCATTCCAAAAGTCGCATGTGGTGACATCGCTGCAAATTCAGAAAATTAAGTATCGAAGAGTCACTGTGCATCGTGATCTGTGATCTACATTGTGATCTTCACAGATTTTCACCGTTCTTTGGTTTGTGAAATTTTGTTAATTTTTTTTATTCGCGTTCTCCCTCCTCCCCTGTAGCCGGTGAGTCGTCCCACTGCAGCTGGTGCGTCTGCCCCTGCAGCCCACCGTCTGCCCCTGCAGCCCACCGTCTGCTCCTGCAGCCCACCGTCTGCTCCTGCAGCCCACCGTCTGCTCCTGCAGCCCACCGTCTGCTCCTGCAGCCCACCGTCTGCTCCTGCAGCCCACCGTCTGCTCCTGCAGCCCACCGTCTGCTCCTGCAGCCCACCGTCTGCTCCTGCAGCCCACCGTCTGCTCCTGCAGCCCACCGTCTGCTCCTGCAGCCCACCGTCTGCTCCTGCAGCCCACCGTCCGCCCCTGCAGCCTACCGCTTGCCTCTGCAACCCGTGCGTAGTCTCTTGCGTCTTTCGTTGCTTCCTGGATTTTGCGGGTAAGTAGTGCGTAAAGCTCTGCTCGTGTGTCATGTGTTCTTTAGTATTTACAAGATTTGCGACCGCTTGTCATTCTGATTAGTTCTTGCCTACTGCTTAGTATCATTAGAATCCTCAGAAATTCCATATACTGTAATACATATAGCTCTATACATCTACAATATATGTATGATTTCCCTTTTAAAATCAAAATCGTCCCCTAAGAAGAAACTATAGTTAACCTAAGAAGAAACTATAGTTAAGAAACATGCCAATTACGAGTAGGATGAGTTAGTAAAGGCTTTGCAATATGTCAGACAACAATTCAACAAGTTATTATGTACTTACTGCATAATTTGTCAAATCTGAGAAACCAAATTTTTCATAAACTTTCAATTTGGCAATCTTCCCACTCACGGTAATTTTTGGCGCAAAATACCTCATCAGCGTGTCCATTCATTTTGGCCACCATACATTTTGGCCACCAATCCTTTTGGCCACCCCAGGTTTCTTAGTTTTTTTAGGTTTCTTAGTATAACGCGGGGCCGTATGGGCGCCACGCGTATCCTCGACAGCGAACAGCGATGAACCCGGATGAGGCTTTAATGCCGAATCTGATGCGCAACGTGGCGCAGCAACACCCGACTAACAAGGAAGAATTCTGCAGCCAGTGCAAATGTGCTGCAGATCCGTCAAAACAGCGCAGCAATGTGCGGGGTGGAAAACTGGAAATCCCCAGAAACAGCGAATAGCTACTCAGGAGGGCGGAGCGTCCCGCCCTTACATTAGATTCTTAGGTTTTTAGGTTTCTAAGTTTCTTAGTTGGCCGAAATGACGGGCGGCGAAAATGATTGGTGGCCAAAATGAATGGTGGCCAAAATGATACGGCGCCCTCATCAGTTGCTTTTCATACTTATTGTTGTCCCCAGTGCCTTGCAATATTTCACATAGCTGCTCAGAATTCAGAGTTAATTTGGGGATAATAATAATTACAGTAGTGCATTAGCGCTGCAACTTGTATGTGTACAAATCACGCATACATACAGACAACTAAGACGTTTTCGCAATTCCCATTGGCTGGCCCGGCCTACTTTTGCCTACTTGTATAGATGTGTGCGTGATTTGTACACATACAAGTAAGAAACGCAGATGCACTAGTATTGTCAGGCCGATCGCTATGGCAGCCTACGAGATGGCAGCCAGCGACAGCCCTGCTTCCGGTGTGCTGACTCACACACGGAGTCGCACTCGCTATCGTACGCCGTATCGGCCTCGACTCAGGCTCAGCTACGCCTTGCCACACCTACGGCTTTACGACTCGGCCAATCAGCGTTCGTTCGCTCGTGTTGGATCAGCCCAGTGCCGCGGATAGGCATTTTCTATGTTTCGGCTCATTCCTGTTTAGTCACGTTTTCGCTCTTGCATGAGCCACATCTCGCCATTGGCGCCTTTGCATTATTGCTATCACACAATAAAGCCTCATTACTCACTATCGTGAGTCCTCTGTGTTGTGCTGCTGATATGATAGCAGATCCTGGTTTTCCTTCTGTGGAACCTTCTTTTGAGAGACGGTGTAGAATAGCATCCCTAACGGCCGACGAGAAGACAGGGGAGAACCGTAACCCGGTTCACATCCCCATCTGATCGCCGCCAGCCAGAACGGTTGGTTTCTCTCTCTTGCGGAACCGCGAGCAGAGCGACTCAGCGGACCTTGCGCGGACATCGGGCAGAACAATTCAGCAGACTCTCCTCTCTCGCGCGGACGGAACGATCTTTCGCTTACGGCCAGCGGAACGACTTGGCTCGGGTAGATCGGCGGACGGAACGATCCTGCGGATCCTTGGACTACAACCTCGGACGGAACCCTCTCAGCACTCAACAATCGGGGTCGCCTTTGCGTTTAGTCGCACCCGCAACTTTGCCAATGCTAGCGGGACGTTTTCACCCGGAGAATCCGGCGGATTGACCTGGACGGACGGCATCCCACCCGTGCCCACCCGGTAAACAGGTCTTTCAGACCCTCGTAGAGCCTCAAAGACCCGATATAGCCGGGCAACTTTCATTTTCTCCGGACCAAAAGTGGTTTTGGCCGGCTACAACTAATTTTTACCCGGATTAACGGGCTTAAAACATTTTTTTTTGGTAAATTAGGGTCAGCCTACCTAACTTCCGGTGACCCTCGGAGTCCCGGCTAACTATCCTAGAAAATTTCGAAAAATTAGGAGAATAATTTTCATCCGGCTAAAATAATTTTTGTTCGGCGAAAAATAATTTTTCGTAATTTTTTTGGAATTTTTGCCAAGTTTCCATCGGCAGAGATAATTAATCTAAATTTAAAATTAATTGTGTTGTCACTACGGCTTAATTTTAATACTTAAGATCAGCCAATCAGAATAGCGGGGAAATTCCCTATGCTGTAAGCCCGTAGTGAGTCACTGTTTTTTGCTAATTTGCACGCGGCACGTAGAATCGTTACGTAGGCAGTAATCCGCAAGACCACTTAAGTGTGTGACGTCATAGCGGTCAGTACTGTAATATAGGACGTACGTTAGCTGTACTGAGTTGCAAGTAGAACAAGCACACCCACCACATCACCCCCACCCCACCGGACCCTTCGGACCCTCGGACCTTCAAGGCAAAGATCTTTCATCCCGGACGTCCGCAATAAATGACAAGTCCGGACCCATTGGCCAAAGGGATAACCCGGAGCCAACTTCGTGGCTCCAATAGAGCTGCAACCGGAAATGCCTGGACGGTCGAACCTGTACGAACAGAAGTTCGACCAGGACTATGCCCGACGTGACCAGGCAGGCGCGTACACCTTCCGCCATACAGCCCGGGCAGCTCGGACCCTATTTTGTCGGACTCGAAACGGTCCACGAAATCCAACAAGTCGGCCTTAGCCAAGGAGAAGCGGAACCAGCAGATCCTGGCGGCCGACGCGGCCCAGTCGCCGGAAGACAGTTTCGAGGATTCCCAGGACCGGATGTTCTTGGAGCTACCCCATGCTGAACCGGAGGTTCTGCTTGGCCCAATGGGCCAAGATACGGTAAGCCCGGAGCCTGCAGTCGGACATGGGCGCCCAACAGGTGCCATGCCGACCACCCTTCATGCCAATTCCCGGAACAGTGGAGCCTCGAGCCCGGCGCTAACTAGCGCCGCAGTGTCTCTGGACATGGGACACCTGGTGCAGCCCCAACAGGGCAGCACGGCGATTGGAACGGAATCAAGGCAAACCCAAATGAGCCCTAACCAGACTGGAGGGAAGGCTCCACCGGCCCGGGAGGTGACCCACAAGGCGGGTTCACCGAGCAGAATCCCGGTATCCCCGGTTAAAGCCCCTAAATGCCCGGACAATATCCGGAAACAAACGTCGCCGGACCCGAAACGACCCTCGGGGACTCCGAAAGCGACCAGACCGGAGCCTGTAGTCGGACATGGGTGCCCAATAGGTGCCTCGCCGACGATTTTTCCGGCCCGTTTCTCGGATAATGGAGCCTCGGTCCCGGCACTTAGCAGCGCCGCGGAGTCACCGGACATGGGTGATCCGGTGTCACCCCAACATAGTGACAGGTGAGCCAGAATGGCACCGAGGCAGACCCGAATGAAGCCTAACCAGAAGGGAGGGAAGGTTCCACCGGCCCGGGGGTGACCCTCAAGGCGAGTTCACCGAAGAAAACCCCGGTAACTCCGGTCGGAAACCCTAACTCTCTGGACAATACCCGGAAATCAGCGTCACCGGACCCAAAACAACCCTCGGGGACTCCAAAGGTGACGTCATCGAACCTGAAGTTTCGATGGGCCCTGACTTTCAACTTCAGACCTACCGAAGCCGACTTCAGGCACTCGGAAATCACCGTTGGGAGCATCGCAGCCGATAAAGACCCTCAACAACGAGGCTCGGACTCTGACCCAACAGGTCGAAACCCTGAAAATGCGGTTTGCGACCCCAGTTTTCCCGGCTGAAGCTTCCGCTTTTCCGGTCAAATTCCGGATTCCACCGGCCCGAATTGGGACAACGGTTGGCACTCAGAGGCTGGAGCGTAAGAAGCTCACGGCTGCCCTTGATAGCAGGGACATCGCTATCAATGACCTTACTCAACAGATCGAGCAGCTAAAGACCCGGTTAGAAGCTACCGAAGAGCCCTGCCGTCACGACTAGAAAGAAGTCGCCCAACTCCGGGACGAAAACGACCAGCTGAAACAGGGCATCATCGGCTTCAAAGAAGAAATCGATGAGCTCCAATCAGAGTTCGAAGTTATCCGGGATGCCTATGAGAACCTTGAGGCCGAATGTGAGGCTCAGCGAGCACGCATTACCCACCTGGAAGCTGAACGAGCGGAGATAACCGAATATCAAACAGAGCTCTACGAATATGGCTTTGAAGCCGCAGCCATCATCCTTGGATACATCAAGGAACGTGGTGAACTCAGCATCGAGTTGGCTCGCCGCTGCGGGGAAACGACCTACCTCGAGAAAATGCTAGGCGAACAACCCCATCGGTCCACAACACCCAGCAGCAGTAAAAGTGTCACCAAATCGATGACTACTTGCGCCGGGATAACCTACTGCTTGGTCCAATAGGTCAACCAGGAATGTCCACCGACCAAACCTACCAGGTCGGCATGGTCCTTGGTGAGCCGTCTACCGGGAACCCACCGAGAGTACGAACCCAGGTACCCTCCGGATTGGAACGGAGTATGTCGACGGCCACATCACATGTACCGACCAAATCCACGGTGACGAATACTACGGCCTATGGAGGAACGTCCGCAAGTGTGACGTTCTCAACCGAACCAGGCCTGTGGCGTAAACTTCAGCCAAACCAAACCTGGAAAATCGACAAGAAGGTCAAGTGAGAGGCTCAAACCATCGAGCCCTGGCCATCGGATCGGACAACATAAGCACTGGAGCGGGACTTAGGCCTTCGGTGAACCTCCCAATAGGAGGTCACCAGCCTAACCCGGCCAATCCTAGCCGAGATCCAGACGGACAACGGTCACAATCGCAGACAGCATT